ACAAAGGCGCCCATGGAACACGGGTGGGGCTGCACTGTGGGGTGTGAGGTGTTGGTTCTTTGGTCCCCAGGGGCTATTCTGGACTGGAGAGGATAGGCTGTGACATTCCAAAGGAGCCTTTGGCCCACGGATGGGGTTGAACTGTCCCATGGTGGGGGCTTGGTTCTTTGGTTTCCGGGGGTGTGGTGGGGAAAAAAGGTGTTTTTCCCCCCTGGAGTTCAAAAAATGGTAACCCCCGAGGGGGTGGTGTCTCTCCTGATGTTGACCCAATCAGCGCCCCTGCAAAATTCAAACCTATCACAGCAGAGCGGAAAAGAAGGGGGAGGAGGGAGTTGGAGAAGAAGTGGCCATGTTCTGAGAGCACGAGGGGAGAAGGGGCAGGAGCCCCACTGGGGACCACGCCCCCTCAGCCCCCCGGCTGGGGTCCTAGAAACTCGGAAACAGTGTTCAACTGGACCGAGGTCCGGGACTGAAAAAGCTGGGAGTTCTTCTCCACTGGGAGTGGGCAGCAGAAGACGGAAAGGCGGCAGCAGAGACAGCACTGAGCAGAGGCTCTGGCTGAAAGCCAAGAGATAAGAAGCAGCAAAGATGGCCTGCAGCCATGCAGGAAGACACAGAAATGTCTAATGGAGAGAGAGAGAGAGAGAGAGAGAGAGAGAGAGAGAGAGAGAGAGAACTAAGCTCTCCAGAGCCAGTTTTGGGGGTAAGAACTGAATCAAAGTCCCCAAAACCCCTCTGAGAGCCCTCCTAGGAGGAGGCGGTGGACTCCTACTTGATGGAAGTGCTAAAATGCAGCCTGCAGCAGAGAGAGAGAGGAGCTAAGAAGCTCAGCCGTCCTGGAAGCTGGAGCGGGACGGCTGGAGGGAATGTGGAGGAGGGCCTTGCCCCCCCGCTGCTGCTGCCAGGCTGGCAGCTGAGACAGAGCAAAGGAGTTCTGTGTGGTGGTTTGAAACTCCCAAAGGATCTAATTTTTAAGTTCAAGCCCCCCTCCCATAATTTGCCCCTGTGAGAGGGTTTAGTGATGGTATATACTTGATATCTTTTTCACTTCATGTGGAGAGTTTTCAGACTAAACACAACCATTCGTTATTGGGGGAAGGGAAAAAATATTTACAAAGGTTTATTTACACACACCTATATATATATTTTAATTGAATTAAATTCCTCTTTTCCTTCAATAAAAGTGCAAGAAGGAAAGAGAAAAGTCTTTCTGTCACTGCACAGGCCACAGTTCCTTTGGTTCAGTTTTCTTGTGGCACTGGTTAGTGTCCTCCATTTTTTCCAAGGCAGCAGATTTAAGTATGGCAGTCAGGATTTTGGTTCTTACTTTATGGAAATTTCAACCCCGAGCCCGAGCCTTCGGAGGATTTCCTTGTATATCTTCACTCCTCTTGGGCTAGAACATTGAAGGCAGCTTTCAGTTCAGTCTTACCAAAGCTCTTTTGCTCTGTCTCAGCTCGCCAGCATGATAGAAGCAGCAGCAGCAGCAGCAGAGGGCACGGGCACCTCCCCCACATTCCGTCCTGGCTCAGCTCTCAGGACAACTCCGGGTTTTTCAGCTCTTTTCTCCCTCTCTCTAGCTGCTGCTGCATTTCGGGACTCCCTAAGGGTTTGGAAGTCCACCCCTCCTCTTCAGGAAAGCTCTGGGTTTTGGGAAAGTAATACAGTCTTACCCCAAACCAGCTCTGTTGAGTTTTCCTCTGTTTTGTTGCCAGCTCTCCCTCCTGCAGGAACATCTCTGTGTCTTTCAGCCGGCTTCACGTTATCTCGCTGCTCCTGGCTATCTTTTTGGCTTTCAGCCATCGCTGTCTCTGTTCAGGGCTGCTCCACTGTTGCTTTTCAATGTCTTCTGCTGCTGCTGACAGTAAGGAAACTCTTCCAGCTCCTGATTACGGGACCTGGTCCAGCTTTGACACTACACCAGGTCTCCCGTAGCATCAACTGGGGGCTGGGGGCCCCCAGAGGGGCTCACTGGCCCCCTGCTTCCTTCTGGCTCAAATCATGGCTACCTAACCTCTAAACTACTTCACCCCCTTCTCTTCCGTTTCTGTGGGTATGTAATTTCCGTAGGGCGCATGTGAACCTTTGATTGGTCCAGTATTATCAGTGGGGCAAACCATTGCTACCCCAAAGAAAAGGTTTTTCAAACCACCACAATGCTTGACTCCACTGCCTTGGGCTGTCAGTAGTCCTCTCTCTTCCCAGACGGCTCCGTGGGCATGTACAACACTAAATGCATATTTTGATAATATGCATATTTGCAATAATACCCCCAGAGCAACATTCAACTGCTCGTGTGTTAAGGCTTAGTTAAATCTGGTAATCCTAGTGCTGGAGCTGACATCAAGGACTGTTTCAGTTGTTTAAACACATCTCTGGTCTCCTCTGTCCACGTTACAACTCCCTCTTTGGCCGTTTTCAGGGCCAAATTGTTGGACTGTTCTTAAAGCCTTGTGGAAGGACTCTCCAGGTTAGTTGTGTTTTCCTCCCTGTCTCAGGATTTTCCCACTCAAAAGGCAAAAAGCTCTTGGCTGTCTTTGTGTACAGGAATGCAGAAAAAGGCATCTTTAAGATCAAGTACAGTGAACCATCCTAAATCCTCTGTCAATGTGGTTAATAGTGTATAAGGTAGATGTCCTCAGTTATTTTATTGATGGCCCTAAGATCTTGGACCAGCCGATAGCTTTTGCCATCAGCCTTTTTCACCGGTAGGTTGGGGGTATTAAATCGGGATTCACACTCCACCAGTAAACCAAATTTAAGAAACCTTTCAATTATAGGTGCTAAGCCTTTTCGGCTTTCTAGTTTCAAAGGATATTGGTTTTGCCTTACCGGGACTGCTCCTGGCCTGAGTGTGATGCTTACTGGTTCAGCTTGTTTTGACTTCCCAGGGTACTCGCTGGCCCAGACTAAAGGTATGACAGCATTTTCAACTTCTGCAGGGATCTCTCCATGATTTTCCTGTATAAAGAAAGCAGCTGACTCGATATATTTAATATCTGGAATTACAACTTTTTTCCCCCCCTTGCTGAATTTAATTTCAGCTTCTAATTTTTTTCCTTATGTCATCTGTGGACTGTCCCTACAAATAAATACACCAGGTTTTTCTTTCCCAGATCTGACTCTCTGTCAGTGTCAGTATATTTCCTGATGACATCCTTCAACCCGTTCAGAAAATCTGTGGGTGATTCATTTTTATCTTGTCCAACCTCACACATTTTGGACCAGTTTAACGCCTTCGGAACCCCACGCCGGAATCCATAAATTACCCAGTCTTGATAACGTTTCAATGCTTCCAGATTTGCTGGTACATTGGGATCCCATTTGGGATCGTCGGGGGGGAAGATGTCCTTAATATCTTCCCCTGGAAACTGCCCAGAGGTTTTTAGCATCTCAATTGCAGTTTGAGCAGCTCTTTTTACCATCTCCTTCTCTGTCTGATCTAATAAAGTATCCATCATAACTTCCAGGTCATACCAGTCAGGGTTCTGAGTTTTGATTGCTCTCTGGACATAGTTTGCTGCTCTGTCTGGGTTATCTCTATATGCCCCTACAGAATCCTTCCATTGCTGTAACTCAACCAGTGAGAAAGGAACTTAAATAAAACTTTCAATAAAATTTGTGGGACAGGAGCAGCCTTAACTCAATCTTTCTTCTTCCCTTTTCCTAAAGCCATTTCTGATTTTTCTGTCTCTTTTGAGCCTTCGTTTTTCTTATCTCCCCCTCCCAATCCAGGGCATGTAATAGAAACATAAACAATTCCGCACACTGGATTTCTTCCCATTTCTGTTCTACATTGAAAAGTAAAACTAATTGCAACACTGTGTCTAGTTCAAAAGAACCAAATTCCAGCCAAGTCACTCCTCTCATTTGTCCAAACAAGGGCCAAGCATCCACAGACAGCCTACAAAGTTCTTCCTTTTTTAAAGTCGTCTCAGAACCAGTCAAAGTTTTCCAGTGTTTCAAAACCAAACTCAGGGGGAGATTCCTTAGGAATCTTAAACTTTGAATCCACACAACCCACGATTGCAAAACACAAACAAAACACACACTAGGCCCACCCCCTGTGAATTGGGGCTGGGGACTTCTTGGGACCACTCCTTCATCATTCTCATCATCTTCAGAGCACAAAGGGTACACAGTCACCCAGTTCTTGACTGTGTTCTGTTGTTCAGCTCAAGATATGAGTGTTCTCCAAACAGCACAGGCCTTGCCTTGACAAGAGACTAAACATTTCTACTGAATTCAGGGGTAGAATTGATATGGGGAGCATGGAATGGGGTAAGAGGGTTGAGGAATATGTAAAGTACTTGTGCTAAAGGGTGAGGAATATAATATAGCTACTTCTAAAATCTACTTCTACTATAATTACATATAAAGCTTATAAAAATTAGCAAAATAAAAAAAACCCTAAAAGGGTCTTAAGGCATCGGTTTATGCCAACACATTAAGTTTAGAGGAACTACGGAGATGTGACTGAACCACTTTTGTCCCCTAAGTTTTAATGATGGCAAATCAGATCTACTGATAGAAATGAATTTATTTAGGGTTCCAAATGATCAGACAAAAGATCTTCATCAGAATTATTTACTGCACAATAGAAACACTAAAACTACCAGCAGTACAGGATAAGATAGGACAGTGCTCTACACTAAAGCAAGTCTTGAAGCAACTCTACTCAAGCTGGCACAAAAGCAAGAATTCTTAATTAGAGATGGATGGAACACCCCCAGACCAACGCTCGTGGGGAGATCTCTGCTCTCAACCTCCAGCAGTGACCTTGGGGGGTCCCCAGCCAAGGCAGGAATCTCCACACACCCCCCAAGAAGGGTTCTGTTGGCAAAAGCTGCCCCTGGGAAAGGGGACTGACCCTTTCTGGTTGAAAGGGATGGACTGACAGTCACTGGACTCCAGGGGTTGCCTCACCATCAGGGGCTTAATTCGGGGTGGAAGCAGCGGCCAAAGCTCTTCCCACAATCGGGGCACTCAGAGGGCTTCTATTACTGGTGGGTCCTTTGGTGTCTGTTGAAGGTAGACCTGTCAGAGAAGCTCTTTCCACACTCCCCACACTTGTAGGGCCTCTCTCCGGTGTGGACGCGCCGGTGGGTGACGAGGTGGGAGTTCCGGTTGAAGCCCTTCCCGCAGTCGGTGCAGCGGAAGGGCCTCTCATCCGTGTGTGTCCGCTGGTGCACGAGGAGATTGGAGCTGGTCTGAAACCTCTTTCCACATTCCAAGCACATGTAGGGCCGTTCCCCAGTGTGGATGCGCTGGTGTCGGAGCAAGTAAGACCTGTCCCTGCAGCTCTTCCCACATTCCCCACATGTGTAGAGCCACTCCCCAGTGTGAATGCGCTGGTGGCGGATCAGGGTGGAGCTGTGCCCGAAGCTCTTCCCACATACCCTACAAGTGTAGGGACGTTCTCCAGTGTGGATATGCTGGTGGCTGAGGAGGTTGGTGCTCTTCCTGAAGCTCTTCCCACATTCCAAGCATCTGAAGCGCTTCTCCATGCTGGGAGGCTGCTCAGGGACCACCAGGTCACAGCTCCCCCTCAAGCTCCGGCCGCCTTCCTGGCACAGGCTGGGTCTTTCCTCCTCAGAGCACCCTGGGCGGGCTTTGGAGCCCCTCCTCCAGGGGGATCCCTGGGCCTTTTCCTCCCCGCTGCCTTCCTGAGCCGTGGAGCCCTTCAAAACGGCCTCTCCCACCAGGGTCTGATGGGGGGATTTGTCCTCCGGGCTCTCCGTCCTCAGCTCGGGGCCTGGGGCAGGAAGCAAGAAGGACAGGGAGGGGATTTGCCTCCGGCCCACAGGGAAGGCCAAGGACATCCCCCCAACTCCGGCCCCGGCAGGACGGCGCCGGCAGCGGGGTTGTCCTGCAGCCGGGGGCCATGCTCGGCTGCCAGAGCCAGCACAACACCCGCCCAAAGGGCCACTCACTTCCTCCTCACCTGCCTGGGGGGCCCAAGGCATCTTCCTCTTCCTCGCAGCCTCCTCCTCCATCCGCCCAAGCTTTGGGAAGGACAAATCCTGATGGGGGAAGGGAAAACAAGGGCTGAGTGTGTTGGCTTGGGGGTTCCTCCTGCCCAAGTCCATCTCTAGAACTCACTGGGCATCCTGTGACCATAAAAACCTCCAAAACACCAAGATTCAGCCCAGAAAAACCCAAACCACTGAGATTTAGGCAACAACCCCCCCAGAAGGAGCGAGATGAACCTCCCCCCAAACTGCAAGAAGTTGAGATTCAGCCAAAAAATATTCCAAACTATGAAGATTCAGTCCAAAAAAACTCTCACAGAATTTTACCTCTCTGGTCTTTCCCCTCTTGGGTTCGCAGGGTCTCCCCTGTCTGGGATGCCGGGGGTCCCACTTAGGGATGCTGGGAGTGTTGGGGGTCCCAAGGGTCCCTTCTCCTCTGACTCTCGCCTTCGGGGTGTCACGTTCCCAGACATTCCCCCTCTCCAGGTTCTACACTCTGTTGTTCCAGGGATCCCAGGGGTCCCCACTTTCCAGGATTCTCCTTCTCTATGCCCCCCGTTTAAGGCTTCTGGGGGTCCCAGGGCTCCTCCCTCTCCGTGCTCCCCCCTCCAGGCTGCCGGGGGTCCCCAAGCTTCGGCATTGCCCCGCTCCACCCTCCACACTCGGCAGCTCCCGGGCTCCACACCCACCCCCGGCACTCCCAGGGGGCCCCAAAACCGCTGTGTCCCCCCCGCCGGCACTGGGCTGACAATGGAGCCGGCGGGGCCTGACCCAGCAACACCAACCCCCACTGTGGGGGGGACCCGCATCCCCCCACCCACCGCTGGGGCTCTGCCACCAACCCAGCCCGGCACCCCCAAAAAATACCTCCTGCCCACCCCCAAGAGCCCCCAAGGACACAGCCCTGCACAAGGGCTGGCTGTCCCCAAGGCAACCAAACAGCCCCACAGGTGGAGGGACACCAGAGGCTGCCCCAGAACAATGAGAGCAGGGAGTGGATTGGGCCCCCTGACACGTGGATGGGCTCTGGGTTCAGCCTGACCAGGGGCAATTTGGCACCAACAGCACGGCCCCGACTGCTGGCTCGGCACAGGGGGCCCGAACTCCCCCCTCTCCAGGCTCTCGGGGCTCTCGCAGCTCCCCCCTCTCTCCAGCCTCCTCCACTCTACAGGGATCAAGACATGGGGACACAGAGGGACCCCCATGGCAATCCTGCTCCTGGTCCCCCCCCTTCCCTTAGCCCCCCTTTCCCACCTCTTTCCTGGGCTGTTCCCTGGTGTGGATTTGCTGGTGTCGAATCAGGTGAGAGCTCTGTCTGAAGCTCTTCTCACATTCCCGACACATATAGGGCCATTCCCCAGTGTGGATGTGGCTGTGCCGGATCAGGTGGGAGGTTTGGCTGAAGCTCTTCCCACAATCCCCACATAAATAGGGCCGTTCCCCAGTGTGGATGTGCTGGTGTCGGATGAGGTGGGAGCTCTGCCTGAAGCTCTTCCCACATTCCAAGCACCTGAAGGGCTTCTGCCTGCTGGGAGGCTGCTCAAGGACCACCAGGTCACAGCTCCGCCTCAAGCTCCGGCCGCCCTCCTGGCACAGTCTGGGTCTTTCCTCCTCAGAGCACCCTGGGCTGGCTTTGGAGCCCCTCCTGCAGGGGGATCTCGGGGCCTTTTCCTCCCTGCTGCCTTCCTGCGCCGCGGAGCCCTTCAAATCGGCCTCTCCCACCAGGGTCTGCTTCGGGGATTTCTCCTCCGGGCTCTCCGTCCTCAGTTCGGGGCCTGGGGCAGGAAGCAAGAAGGACAGGGAGGGGATTTGCCTCCGGCCCACAGGGAAGGCCAAGGACATCTCCCCCAACTCCGGCCCCGGCAGGACGGCGGCGGCAGCGGGGTTGTCCTGCAGCCGGGGGCCATGCTCGGTAGCCAGAGCCAGCACAACACCCGCCCAAAGGGCCACTGACTTCCTCCTCACCTGCCTGGGGGGCCCAAGGCATCTTCCTCTTCCTCGCAGCCTCCTCCTCCATCCGCCCAAGCTTTGGGAAGGACAAATCCTGATGGGGGAGAAAACAAGGGCTGAGTGCGTTGGCTTGGGGGTTCCTCCTGCCCAAGTCCATCTCTAGAACTCACTGGGCATCCTGTGACCATAAAAACCTCCAAAACACCAGGATTCAGCCAACAACCACCCAGAAAGAGTGAGATGAACCTCCCCAAAAAACCGCAAGAAGTTGAGATTCAGCCAAAAAATATTCCAAACTATGAAGATTCAGTCCAAAAAAACTCTCACAGAAGTTCCCCCTCTCTGGTCTCTCCGCTCTTGGGTTCACAGGGTCTCTCCTCTCTGTGATACTGGGGGTCCCACTTAGGGATGCTGGGAGTGTTGGGGGTCCCAAGGGTCCCATCTCCTCTGACTCTCACCTTCGGGGTGCCGTGTTCCCAGACACTCTCCCTCTCCACGTTCTCCACTCTGTTGTCCTGAGGATCCCAGGGGTCCCCACTGTCCAGGCTTCCCCTTCTCCATGCCCGCCATTTCAGGCTCCCGGGAGTCCCGGGGCTCCTCCCTCTCCATGCTCCCCCCTCCAGGCTGCCGGGGGTCCCCCAGCTCCAGCATCGCCCTGCTCCACCCTCCACACCCGGCAGCTCCCGGGCTCCAGATCCAGGCCCAGCACTCCCGGTGGGGCCCCAAAACCACTGTGTCCCCCCCGCCAGCACCGGGCTGACAATGGAGCCGGTGGGGCCTGACCCAGCAACACCAACCCCCACTGTGGGGGGGACCCACATCCCCCCACTCACCACTGGGGCTCTGCCCCCAACCCAGCCCAGCACCCCCAAAAAACACCTCCCGCCCACCCCCAAGAGCCCCCAAGGGCATCCAAACAGCCCCACAGGCAGGGGGACACCAGAGGCTGACCCAGGGCAACGAGAGCAGGGAGCGGATTGGGCCCCCTGACACGTGGGCGGGCTCTGGGTTCAGCCTGACCAGGGGAAATTTGGCACCAACAGCACGGCCCCAACTGCTGGCTCAGCACAAGGGGCCTGAACTCCCCCCTCTCCAGGCTCTCGGGGCTCTCGCAGCTCCCCCCTCTCTCCAGCCTCCCCCACTCTCCAGGGATCAAGGCATGGGGCACCAAGGCACCCCCACAGCAATGCCGCTCTCTCTCTCTCCCCCCTCCTTTAGCCCCCCTCTCCCAACCCTTCCCCGGGTTGTTCTCTGGTGTGGATGCGCTGGTGTCGGATCAGGTGGGAGATTCTTCTAAAGCTCTTCCCACATTCCCGACATCTGTAGGGTCGTTCCCCAGTGTGGATGTGCTGGTGGGTGAGGAGGTCGGTGCTCTGCCTGAAGCTCTTCCCACATTCCAAGCACTTAAAGGGCTTCTGCCTGCTGGGAGGCTGCTCAGGAACCATCAGGTCAGAGTTCAGCCTCAAGCTCCTGCCACCTTCCCGGCACAGGCTGGGTCTTTCTTCCTCAGAGCACCCTGGGCTGGCTTTGGAGCCCCTCCTGCGGGAGGATCTCCGGGCCTTTTCCTCCCTGCTGCCTTCCTGCGCCGTGGAGCCCTTCAAAAAGGCCTCTCCCACCAGCTTCTGCTGCGGGGATTTGTCCTCCGGGCTCTCCGTCCTCAATTCGGGGCCTGGGGCAGGAAGCAAGAAGGACAGGGAGGGGATTTGCCTCCGGCCCACAGGGAAGGCCAAGGACATCCCCCCAACTCCGGCCCCGGCAGGACGGCGGCGACAGCGGGGTTGTCCTGCAGCCGGGGGCCATGCTGGGCTGCCAGAGCCAGCACAACACCCGCCCAAAGGGCCACTGACTTCCTCCTCACCTGCCTGGGGAGCCCAAGGCATCTTCCTCTTCCTCGCAGCCTCCTCCTCCATCCGCCCAAGCTTTGGGAAGGACAAACCTGATGGGGAGAAAACAAGGGCTGAGTGCCTTGGCTTGGGGGTTCCTCGTGCCCAAGTCCATCTCTAGAACTCACCGGGAATCCTGTGTCCATAAAAACCTCCAAAACACCAAGATTCTGCCCAGAAATACCAAAATCACTGAGATTCAGGCAAAAAAACCCCTCAGAAATAGTGAGATGAACCTCCGCCCCTCAAAAGTCAAAAAGTTGAGATTTAGCAAAAACATACTCCAAAATATGAAGATTCAGCATTAAAAAATCTCTCCCAGAAGTTCCCCATCTCTAGTCTCTCCGCTCTGGGGTTCCGAGGCTTTCCCCTGTCAGGGATGCTGGGGGTCTCAGTTAGGGATGCTGGGAGTGTTGGGGGTCCCAAAAGTCCTTTCTCCTCTGACTCTCACCTTCGAGCTGCTGCGTTCTCAGACATTCCACATCTCCGCGTTCTCTACCTTCTTGTCCTGGGGATCCCAGGGGTCCCCAATGTCCAGGCTTCCCCTGCTTGGAAAGGGGGAAGGCGTCCCAAATATTCTGGGGGGAACATGGGGGGTCAGGACATACTCGGGCTGCCAGCACAGATTTCCCTGCAAAGACTGCAGGGAGTCAAGCTCTGGAGAGGAGATTGTGCCCCATGCATGGGATTGCAGAGGCTCCCTCAGGTCCCCAGAACCAATCAGCAACCAGGAATAGACACAAAAGGCCCCCCCAAAGATTTCTGGGGGAGCATCCTGTAGGGAGGGGACAGTGTCACCCCACCAGGGCAGGGCTGGCAAGTGGGAGGCTGCTCCAGGGCTCTGCAAGAGGCCTCGTGCTCTGCTCGGCCCCAGCACTGGCTGGTACCAACACCCCCGGCTGCCCCCGGCCCTGGGCAGCTCTGCTGTCACAGGCTGTGCCCTCACCGTGGCCCTGCAATGGCCCTGCCCGTCCCTCACCCGTGGCCCTGCCCATGGCCCTGTCCCTTGGCTCTCTCCCTGCCAGCTGAGTGTGGGGCACACGGGCTGGGGGTCCCTCCCGCACCCCCCGGGCAGCCGGCGTTGGCTGGGGGGATGTGAGGGCTGGGCCTGCTCAGCACAGCCCCGGCCTCGTGCCCAGCACCTCTTTCCTGCCCCACACAAGAGCTTCCCGGCCCCCCCAGGGCTCCCCTGCTGCTGCCTCTGCTCCTGGCCCTGCCTTTGCTGCTCCCTTGGCTGGGCCAGTGGCTGCAGGGGGGGGATGGCAGCAGTTTCAGCTCCACGGCAGTTCATGGGGGGAGCTCAGACCGGGGGGGGATGGGCAGGGACCTGATGGGGATGGACAGGGGCCCAGTGTCAGAGACTGAAACGGTTAATGATTTATGCATTCTAGGAGACTTTTGCAGGCTTTTGACTTTCACATTGTGCCTCTTGATAGGCAACTGGGCCCATCCCCCCCCTCCAGTGCAGATGTCAAGCCCCGAAAAGGCAGGAAGAGCCGAGTTTACCACGCCCTTCCGTGAACTCTGCGCTGAAACTTTGGGAGTTTTGTGGCTATGCCCCTCAACTCTGCCACAAGGCGGGAAAAATGTTGGCGGTTCATGGCATGGCCGGGGACACCACCCAATGAAAACAGCTCCCCACCTTGGGGGAGGGGCAAAAAAGCACGCTGAGGATATAGATATTGACTGGTGACTTTGGGGAGTATTTCTTTTCCTTCTCCCCCCACTGCCGGCGAATCAAGACCATTGCTTTCAGGATTGCCAGATCGCATCGCTGGATCCAGTGGGCGGTGACTATATAAGTTTTTACCACTCTCATCTTTTCTTTTTCTTTGCTCTCCCTTACTCTTACCCTGTCTTTCTCTCCCCTATGCATTTTTCTCCCTCCCCAAAAGGTTCGCCTTGTTATATGACAACACCCAAAATGCTACAAAACTGTTAAAATGAACCCTATCTATATATGTCTAAAATAAACCTTACCAATATATGTTTTCAGACACCAATTATTTAGTGTCGCTTCACTTTAATCCACCCCAAGGGAATTATTGATAAAAACCTGAGTTACCTCCCCTCCCCTTTTCCTGGGGCGGGTCGTAACACCCAGCAGGGACAGCCAGGGCCTGCAGGGGAAGGCACAGGGACAACCTGTCCCTCCACAGTGCCAGGGCTCTCCTCCTTCTTGCAGGCTCCGTGGCCAGGCAGAGTCTGTGTTCCTCAGCAGCACCTCTGCCTTGCACTTATTCTCAGCCTCACCTCAGGGACAGCTCTGGGCTCACCTCCGCGCCACTTCTCAGCCTCACCTCAGGGCCTGGGCTCAAGGACAGGAACCTGCAGGGAGGGGACATGATGTGCAAGCTGAGGGCTGCCTGCTTGCACTGGCCTCTGGGCTTCTTTCTCCTTCTACAACCAGCCCAGAACTTAGCCTGCTTTGCTAACACGACACATTTACAGACTAATCTTGCAGATATATAAGGACAGACATTTCTATCACCCTGTGGATAGGGGCCTTCTGCAGAGCCATCCTGCCT